ACATCAGGAGTGTCGGCTTTGCTCTTTCCCCATGAAGACTATGAGGAATGCAAGAGGTCCCTTTGCTTATGCATGCACAAGCATTTTCACCCTGATTCTCTTAAATGTCTATTTTACAAGTTAGTCTATTCCAGGACTGATGCTCTGTGTACAAGAGTGTGGCACACAGTTCATCCTCAAGCGCTAGCACATTCGTGTCTTAGACTGTCACACACATTCCCTTTCTTCTCCCCCCCCCCTTTTAACAGAAGTGCTAATTTTAAAACTGCACTTACATTTGTGAAATGACTTTCCTCACTTCTTCTCACAAGGTGCAAGATTAGTTCTTGTCAGTTCATGTAAGTGTTTTATCTTGTGCTCTTAAACCCAGTGCTTTGGGCTGGCAGGAAGATGCTGCCTTCTAGAGCAGCAGTGCTTGGTTTGTTGTTTCCCCCCCTTCCTCTCAATGTGGATACTGGTGTGGGGCAGAGACTGGCATGCTTCTCTTAGCATGGCAGGACTTTTGGATGGCACACAGATTTAAGAGACAGCTGAACAGTGCGGGAAGAGATGTGTGCAGTGTGAGGCGCAGGTTCACAAGCAAACAAGATTTCCAGGCCCCAGACATTCATGACTCTCTCAATAAATCCCTCCTGGCCACAAACTGTGTCTGTACTTCTTGCTTGCCAAGACAATGTCACTGGATGCATGAGAAGGAGAAAGCAGAAGAAACTCTGTGATTATGCTGGCTTGCCATCTGGAATCTTTTCCTCGAGTTCATTTTAAGGTCATAGAAATTTGTGGATTCTACGCTATTGGTATGATGATATGAATTCTCAGCTGTCTCAATATTTTCTGCATGTGGGTTGACGGTAAATATTAGGAATAGGTTATGCCCAGCTAGAATAGAAATATTTTGCATTCTGTCCTTTTTAGCGAGTACCACAGAATTTAATTTGGTTGCTGTGTTTCTAAATATTTACTTTAGAATTGTCCCATTCTCCTGCTGCTAGTATAAAAGTTGATCAATGCAAGAGACAACAACTTGTCCCCACATTTTAAATGGCAAATTTATTGAAACTGACAACTTCTTTCTCCTGAAGAGAATGCTATATGTTCACAAATCACAAGCCAAATGTAGCATGTTGTGAACTATGAATTTGCTTCTCCTCAAAAATCATGGCTTGTTAGCTTGCCACATACTACAATCTTAACCTGTTGATTGTTGGTTGCTTACAAACTGTGGCTTGTTTAAACCATGGTGTGTTGTGATATCTGAACTTGCAACTGTGGCTTGTTCCTGGCTTGTTTTCCCAGATGCCAATCCTGAAACAGGCGTGGACAAAAAGAATGAGGGGGTAATTATAAATAAGGCAGAATTCAAAGATATAGCTGTGTTAGTCTGTAGAATCAGTATGTAGAGAGATTTTGTAGCCTCTTTGAGACTAACTGAAAGAAATAAATTGGCAGTATGAGCTTTCGTAGACTTCAGTCTACTTCATCATATAAATAAGGTTTATTTGGTCACCTGCTGTAAAGTAAGACAATTAACTTTGCAACATTAAAACAATTTGTGCAACTACATAATTATAAAGCAAGAAACCATAGTTAACAGAAACCTGTGAATGTGCCAACTGACTGAATGCATGATATGAGGCTTAAACTCCTACAAATTCAGGCCTTCCTTTCAGAGATGGCTGATGATTTCCTTGTCAGTAGTGTGGTGAACCTGATAAAAATCTAGACATTAAAGGCACCATTGAAGGTACTGAATCCTGTCCTCAGAGTAAGTTCATCATCCTGAGTAGCTTCTTTGTTGTTCAGACTAAAAGCCAGAATGGATTTACTTTCTCAGTGACATGGAAGCCACCAACCTTTGCTCTTTCCGTTTTTCCAAATGTAACTCAAAGCTTAGCATCTGTGCCATGTTGTGAGTGACAGAGGCATGTCTATTAAGGTTCTTGGACTTAGTTATTGATAGTTGAAGATTTAGGATTTGTAGGCAGACTCACCTCATATGCACAACTGATCTTTGATGATAACATTGTTAGCCATTCTAATCATTTAATAAACTTTACTGGTCAGTGTGTGCTCTTTAAAGATAAGCATATTCACATGAGAACTGTTTCTCTGGATCACCCTTTGGTACTGTAACATTAAATCAGATGCTCAGGCTGGCCCTAAGCATTTGCTTCTTAAGGCAAGATGTCATACCTTGCTCCGTTCCACATACAGAAATCCTTGCTCAAGAAGCTGTGTCGGCCTCTTGATATATGAGGTTCTTCTGTCTTAAAGGAAATCAATAGGCTGATGTGTACCTGAACGCAGAGTAGGCTGCAGAACACAACAGATCCAATTTCCTAATATGCAGTTGTTGCAGTCTCCATATGTTATTTTTTGTGTCGAGAAATTCATGTGTTCTCTTTCAAATGTTTCTCCCTGAATGCAGAATGCTACACTGGGAGCAGCTGTGTATTTTGTTAACTGCCCTTGAGTCAATCTCGACTCATGACAACCCTATGGATGAGACATCTTCAAGACCCTCTGCCCTCCACTGCTCTGCTTAATCCCTGCAACCCCTTAATACCTGTGACCTCCTTAATAGAGTCCATCCATCTGGCATGTGGCCTTCCTATTTTCCTACTTCCCTCTAAATTTCCCAGCATTATTGTCTTTTCCAATGAGTCCTTCCTTCTCATGATGTGTCCAAAATACAACAGCCTCAGTTTGGTCATCTTGGCTTCCAGGGAGGTTTCCGGTTTTGATCTGCTCTAGGGACGTTATCACACGGGGCCTAAAGCAGTCCCATCCCTGTCGCATCCCCGTCCCATTGCGGTTCCTTTTCAATCCAGAACTTACCGGCAAAAAGAAAGCAGCATCATTCCAGTATCATTCTGGTCATGGCAGAAATGTAATTCCCAAAAGAATCCGGCATTCAAAAGAACGGGGATGATGCCGGATGATGCCGCAATGGGACGGGGATGGGACGGGGATGGGTGCAACGTCGTGTGAAGACACGGGGAAAAGAACCGCAATGGGACGGGGATGGGACGGGGATGGGCGGGGTTTCTCTGCGACGTCGTGTGAACACAGGGGAAAAGGAAGCGGAATGGGATGGGGATGCGACGGGGATGGCACTGCTTTAGACCCCGTGTGATAACGTCCTCGGACCCATTTATTTGTCCTTTTGACTGACCATGGGATCCTCAGCATTCTTCTCCAGCACCACATTATCTCAAATGCATTGATTTTCTTCCTATCATCCTTCTTAACTGTCCAGCTTTCACATCCATACATGGTAATAGGGAATACGATGGTTTGTATGATTCCAACTTTTGTACTGAGTTGTATGTCTTTACATTTTGGAATCTTTTCTAGTTCTTTCATAGCCACCCTCCCCATTCTTAATTTTCTTCTGATTTCCTGACTGCAGTCCCCATTTCTATCAATGTTTGATCCCAGATGTGGGAATTCTTTTACTATTTCTATTTCTTTATTGTCTAGATTGAACTTGTGAAGGTCTTCACTGGTCATTGTTTTTGTTTTCTTTATGTTCAACATTATGCCTGCTTTTGCACTTTCTTCTTTGATCTTTCTTAGTAGGTGTTCCAAACCTGTGAGGTTTTCTGCTAGTACTATGGTGCCATCTGCATATCTTAGATTGTTGATATTTCTTCCTCCTATTTTCACTCCTCCTCCTTCTGTGTCCAAGCCTGTTTTTCTTATAATATGTTCTGTATACAAGTTGAACAGATAGGCTGATAGGATCCAACCTTGTGTGACCCTTTTGCCAATTGAGAACCATTCTGTTTCTTCATGTTCTGTTCTGACAGTAACCTCTTGTCC